TACTCAAGAATCCTCTCCTTATCTTCCTTTGCTAGAAGCTCAATATTCAATTTGTCAATTGTTTGATGCATTTCCTCTATTGCCTTTACCATTGGAGTTTGACTTAAAGTAGATTGAGCACGTGTTGAATGACTAAACTTTTTGCTTAAAGTACCAAGTTCATACACATGTCCTTTGTCATTCTCACCTCCTACAACACCTAAATATATTTCATTTCATTAACAGAGGCAAGAAACTCTTGTGTAGATGTTCCTTCCCCAGTACACTATAGGACCTCCTCTTGACGATTTTGATATCTTTCCTGCAAAATAAATTAAAACATCATATTTTTACAATTAATACATAAAGACAAACTTCAAAATATATTTAGAAAATTTAAAAGGTAAAACTTACAGCAATGTCTCGGGTCTTGTGATTAACCCAAGCTCCAGTCTTCAACTTTTTTGTTCTCTCCACTATCTCCCATGTAGTTGGTGGCTGTTGAAACTCCTTAGACTGCATATTTAAATATGTTTTACAAATCATCTTTTAGAGTGAACATGAAATTTTATACATCATGTATAATGGATCTAGAAGAACATCAAATATATTTCTCTTTACAAGAACATGCAATAAAAGTAAATAAATTATAAAGGGTTTAACTTTTATTAGATTCTTGCTAAAATTACAATATCATTACAAATTTAAAAGATATATCTTCATAAATTTTTATAGATCATAAATAAGGTAGCATACATAACCATTATAAAGCATCAAGGATATTGCTTAGACATTATCTTATACAAATTATAATGCTTACTTTCCCACATGAAGACATAAATGCAACAATGTAAAAAATATTGCACAATGTATAATATAGATTAACATATGCACCTCCTACAATGGTAATCCTAAACAAAAGGGATAACAATTGCATATAGTTAGAACTTTGTGTTTGTGTCTTTGTAAGGGACATGCAACCACACTTAATTTTAATAATATTTATTTCAAACAAAAGGGATAGTTAGCCTTGTAGAGATCCTAGAACTATTGTAAGTCTTCTACATATATTTGTAAATAACCTATTGTAAGTGTGTCCTTAATTTTGTATCAAAGTCATAAAACCATGCAGCTCAATTTTTAATTATAGTATCAAAGTCATACAATATTGAGATTGAAGTTGAAATAAAAATACCAATTTCTCATAATGAGCTACTATGGATATAGAGCGACCACAATAGGTTGAAATGAAACCCCCTTATTAACAGCTCGATTTGCCTTTGCAATGGAACTATTATTTTTGAAACTCTCAGAACCCCAATGTTGGTCCAAAGCTGCTCGAACACTAGCTTGAATCCATGTCCCCTTATCTTGACCATTCTTGACCTTGTTCATGACATTTTTTAGAATGCGTGAACCTTTTGTTTTAAAAACATACCTAATGACTTACTCTTGTTGTGGATCCCACCTAAACTCTTTATGTAAAAAAAAGTGATTTAGTCAACAAACATAATTCAACAAACAATACATTTTAAATGGAAAATCCAACTTAATATACCTTAAACTCTCCAAACCATCTGTCTCGAAGGTCAAGTGTTACTTTTTTCCAAGAAGGACTTGGTTGATCAAATTTTTGCCTAATGATCCTTGAAATGACAACTGAAGGTCCATTGGTTGGTGTAAACCTGTGTAAAAAGATATTGTCAAAGTCATATTTATATAATATTATAGCAAAAAGAAACATAAAATAAAAATTTACTTACTCTCCTTTTTTTTGCATAAAGTCGAGGCCTCTGATTATCTGAATGTCCAAACATTGAAGGTGGTGGGTACTTAGGTGTAAGTGAACCTTCTACTGCCGAAGGTGTGTCTTCTCTAAAAAGAGTAGTAGGAACCGATTCTCCTACAATGGTGGGATTATGTTCTTCCTAAATCGCATGCTGTGAAGTTTGTCCAACAGGATTTGTTGACTCTGAGGTTGAGATGTGAATACTAGTAGGAGGGTTTATGGTGGATAGAGATCTCCCACGAATATGACCTCTACCACCACAATTAGGTGGCCTACGACCACCATCTCTACCTCTATCTGTCATCTGTAAGTCAAATTATATATATATAGATCTATATATAT